CCACTAACCAAAAGAAATGATAGCATTATGTATTTCTTGTTATTTGCCCACTCATTAATCAGTGGTAAACACTGATATATCGATATGTCCATCGAGCCTAATTTTCTATGAAAATCATTAATTCACTACACACTTATATCCAAGGAACCAAGCTCTTCACTGAACATGGATTAATTATGTTTTTATTCTAGAAAGTATGTCTTATAAGCCCTGTGGAGATTTAAGAATGAAAAATTGGATGTTGCAAGATGGATTAAACAGTGGGTCACTTGAGAACATTTGTAGTGTTTTTATAACTCTAAATATAAACTACACAATTTTTATTAAATAAGAGATTCAACCATTACATATGCATATTCACTGCACAAAGTTTCTGAATTTCCTAAATAAAATAAATCAACTATAATTTTTATTTCTCCTCACCCTCTATAAAATATGCTCCATGATTTATATGGTCACTTAATTTGTATCTCATAATATAGTAAAAATGGGTACAAAATGCATTTATAGCAATATAAATTGCATTTATATTGCTGCAAGAAACAGGATTTCTTTCTTCCCTGTGGCTAAATAATATTCCACTGTTCATCTGTACTGTATTTTCTTTATGTATTTATCCATTTCAGGGCCCCTGAGTTGATTCTATATGTTGACTGCTTTAATTGGCACTGGAATAAATATGGGTCTGTGTTAGAATAAGACAGATACAGAAAGATGAGTACTTTAAATTCTCTCTCATACTTGAATGTACATAAAGTCAACATAAATGTTGAATCATGCTTACTAGAGGCTGAGAGAGGGTGGTGGGAACCTGGGTAGAGGGAGAGGAGAATTGATCAGCACATGCTGTACACTGTGAATGTATTGAAGTTTTAAAAGAAGCCCATTAAGATGTACCAATAGTACATATTATTTGAGAATAAAATACAAAAATTTAAAAATGTAATATCTAGAGATAGTGTTTTTGTTTGTAAATGATTACTTTCATTTACATTAGCACAAAATGTCACCTCCATCACTCATGCTCCTAAATTTTCTATGTGTGTGTACCTGTGTGTGTGAGCACATGCACACACTTGTGTTTACTACTACATGTAAAGATGCAGCATCTCAGCACCAGACCACAGACATGGCATTTTATAGCAAAGCATAAACAAAAATGGAATGCAGTATCATCTCTTTACTTTGGAAAAATGTGTATTCAAAAAGTGTCATTTAATGCCTGGAATATATAGTCCACACCAATGAAATTTGTATGTTTTTATCAATAATACAATTACATCATGGGGCAATTTAAAAATTTTATTTTCCACTTGTATGTGTTACGTTCACACATCACAGAAAATATATGATTGTATCACCTTCATCCTTATATTTCTGTCCACATTTATGGTTAGAAATTTTAAAAATAAACTAAAGGACAGATTTTAATTTCATGATCATAATATACACACACAAATCCACCCCTATAACCCACATAATACATTGACAATGTATTTCTTATACATCCCTGATTTCAGTGTGACCAGTATGCAAGCACATATCTACGAGTTCTAAGACCGGTCATGGAAAGTATTAGGTAACATATTTCACAGAGAACTCTTGGTGAGAATGACCAATAGGTAGCTCCTATTGGCATTTCAATACCAAATTTTCAGACTGACACTAATGATTTGGAACAGAAATATATTTTAAACAAATACACAATTTTACTTTAAAGGTTAGATAAATCTGAGCAATAATGCCATGCTAGACACATAGACCTAGATCTACAGTTCTTCCAAACAAATCCTCCACATCAACAGGTCTCCCAAGGGAGCACAGATTCTAGTTTTCCTGATAACCTTGTTTGTTCATGCTCAGGAATAAGACCCCCTGGGACAGAGACACAGATACAGCTACAAGCCAACTATTATAAAAGTACTAGAAAAGTACATCTTACCTGAGTAAATTCAGACAGTTTACTTCCAGGTGGTGGACTTTATACATTCATGGGTAAGAACATCACTTAATATTTCCACAAAAGAATTTTAAGTAGAGTTTACTGTGGTGGCTTTGAATAAAAACAGTTTAGAGTACATTTTCTAAAATACAGTTTTTAAAAATACAGTTAAACATTATTTTCTAGATTTTACTTATTTTTTAACATATGTATTCATAAGACATAAAAATATTCCTGAATCTATTAAATTCCATACAAATTTCTTTTGGAAAAAGTCAAGCTTCAGATGGACTAGATTATAATTGATGAACAAGTTTCTTTCTACCCTTGCAGTGGCTAGGATTTAGCCAGGATTAGGGGGGAGTACATTAGACAAAGGTCCCAGTGTAACCCTAGAGATATTTTTCCAAAGAAAGGAATATGACTTGAGAGAAAAATGGAGAAACCTTCAAGTACCACTGCTAAAATTCACCTTATGTTCTCCACCACCCAACATCTGGAAGGAGCCACTTTAGGAAATGAATGAAAACAGCCCTGCTCACAAGCATAGGGTGGCTAAAGTTGATCAGGGGAAGAGGTAGACATAGATGCATGTGGTGAGTAAGAGGAGAATACCAATGAGGTGATGTCCAAGGTGTTTCCAAAATACAATTATGAAAGATGTTAATTCAGTAGTAGAAGGAAAAGCTCAGTTGGGTTTCCTAAGAGATCGAATTAAAACACACCTTGAGAGATAAACAGGAAATTCTGCTTTAATGTCCATTTTCTTCTTGTAGAGGAAGGAAGTTGAGATAGCAAGAGACAGAGACCCATCATATTCATTGGAACAATAGGAACCACTGCTGTTTCGGAGACTGAAAGGGGTAAAGATTTTAAGAATATTCTGCACTGCAGGGTAAAATGTCACATTCACTTTCAAAGAAAAACGTGTTATTTTTAATACAATTCAATTGGTTTGTATGCATAAATTTTCAGTGTTCTGTGTTTTAAAGCTAAAGAAAAACAAGTTACAGTACAAAGACCAGAAAAATTGAAGAAAGCTGGATAACACATTTTTCCCTCTGATCTAGCTTCTCCTATGTTTTTCTTGCTCTATTTTCAGACTCCATGTGCTGTCAGGAAATGAGTAGCTTCCACTGTATATTATTGCAGATGAACTGTAGAATGAATTTTGCTATGGATGAGAGCTGGAAGTGTCTTTAGGAGTTGCTACAGGCAAGTTGCTTATCTAATAGTCTTGGTAAAAACAGTGTGTAGTGTGGTAGACCAGATGGCAGTTTTGAAAGTTCGCTTACAAGTGCTAAAAGAGTATGAATTTTTGGTTTCTGTCCAGCATTATTTTTATTAAATACAATAGGGTGCATTATAACTGAGCACAAAATAAGATATAAGAACAGCTAATGAAAATATTCTTCTAGATATATTTATTATTTCTATGCAATCTTTTAGCAAGTGTTTGTTTTCACCATTTGTGTTCAACAAAGTTGAGTCTGAGAGTCAACATTCAGAGAAGGGCTTGTTTTGAGAAGTAAAATAAGCCAATATTTTATGTCAGTTTTTCTCCTTGTTTTTTTCTTTCCTTTTCTTTTCTTAGTTAGAGATTTAGAAGTTGTGGGTTCCTGAGCATTTTTTTATTACATTTCTGCATTGGTATGATGGAATATGAATGTCTTTAATCAGTTTTTAGGATTTCTGGAGAAATATACAATTTATCTAGAATTCCTTGCAGTTATTACATAGTTCTTCTCAATAAACATGTTGAGTAAAAACATAAGAAAAAGGTACTTTTCAATAAAGTAAATAATAACTGCTAGTACTCAAAAGTTTTTAGTATATTTGGAAGAAATGTGAAGAAACACAGACTTATTTGTATGTTTATTTGAAGAGAAATTTGCAAGGAAATCTATCAATTTTTAATAAGATTTCATTTTCAATTTTCAGATAGGAAAGTGACAGAGACAAAGCATGGAAGGGTGAGAAAAAAAAGAAGAGGAAAATTTTATGATATTCAGCATTATTAGAACACTCACTAATGCAATTACATAAATCAGTCAGTTTGAATAAGAATAAATAGAAAGATATACAAATTTAAGTACAGCAGAAAAAAGAATGAAAGTATAAAGCATAATTAAAATCTTTTTAGTGAATGATACAAACAGTGAGACACAAATTGACTTGTAAATTAATGTGTAAAGAAATTTTCATTTCTCAGAAAGGAAACATAAATGTTATTTTAGTTACAATTTTAATATAAATTGATATACAATGGTGTTATATTCTGAAAGTCTGGATAGAATTGAGGTCTCCATCAACAGACTAAGTAAGACATATTATATTGACAGTATAATTAAGACATACAGGTTCCTGAGTAAAAATATATGAACTTAAAGCCCAACTTACCCAAAACACAGCTGACCCTTGGATGTTTCTACTTTATTATCCTCTTTGTAATTTGCAAAATAGGCATGGATATAGGAATTTTTCATTTAGGTTTGTTGAAATAAACACAAAAATGTGCCTTCCATAAAGTTAGTTACCTTGAGTATTTGAAGAATTCAATAGCTTTATGAGTATACTGTGATCCAGACTGCCCATACGGAATAAATTACCACTGTAAAATACAAAAATACAAAATTTTCTATCTGTGAGGCTCGGCACAAGAAGCAGTTTGTTTGCACCTGTCCTAGTGCCACTACTGCAAAATATTCATAGTTTATAGTGTTGCTTATATTGCACATAAGATCACCTCCTCTATAAATCCACATCTGAGACAAGAGAGGCTCTCATTTTAACTAGCAAACAAATCCTCTGCACATAAACTGAGATGATATGGTCTGTTTCACAGTCCATATTTCCGTATTTAAAAATGGATTAAGGGAAAAGGAAATACCCTTTTCTGACTAATATGTCTTTCTGCCATCTGTCTAATTTCCAACACCAGTGTGTTGATAAGCTTTATAGTAGGGGAAAATAAAACACATGAATGAAAACACTTTACAAGGAAGTACAGCATAAAAACACCATTTATTGGAATTAAATTGCAAATACAGCCCTTAGACATAACTCTTCTGTTCTTGGTCATGCAGATGTCCTGAGGACACATGGCTCAGGAAAACTGCACACAGGTGACAGAGTTTATACTTGTGGGCCTCATGGACCGCCAGGAGTTGAAGATGCCCCTCTTTGCAGCCTTCCTCTCCATCTATATTTTCACAGTCGTAGGCAACCTGGGTTTGATCCTGGTCATCAAAACAGACTCGAGGCTCAGCACACCAATGTACTTCTTCCTTAGCAACCTGGCTTTTGTTGATTTCTGTTACACCTCGGTCATCACGCCCAAAATGCTTGGTAATTTCCTGTACCAAAGAAACGTAGTCTCCTTCCATGCCTGTGCTGCTCAGTTAGGCTGCTTTCTTACCTTCATGGTTTCAGAGTGCCTGCTCCTAGCCTCCATGGCCTATGATAGGTACGTGGCTATTTGTGACCCTCTGCTCTACATGGTCAGAATGTCGCCGAGCCTCTGTACTCAGCTGGTAGCCATACCCTATGGCTACAGCTTCCTGATGGCACTGTTCCACACTAGCCTGACCTTCCGCCTCTGCTACTGCCACTCGAACATCATCAATCACTTCTACTGTGACGACATGCCTCTCCTCAGGCTCACATGCTCGGACACTCGCTCCAAACAGCTGTGGGTCTTGACCTGTGCTGGGATCACATTCATTTCCTCTGTCCTGATTGTCTTCGTCTCCTACGTGTTCATCATTTCTGCCATCCTGAGGATGCACTCGGCTGAGGGAAGACACAAAGCCTTCTCCACCTGTGGCTCCCACATGCTGGCAGTGACCATCTTCTATGGGACCCTGATCTTCATGTACCTGCAACCCAGCTCTCACCACTCCCTGGACACCGATAAAATGGCCTCTGTCTTCTACACCACGGTCATCCCCATGCTGAACCCTCTGATCTACAGCCTCCGGAACAAGGATGTCAAAGAGGCTCTGAAGAAAGCAGTCAGCAGGAGCAGCCAGGCTTCTGTGTTCGTGAAACTAAGAAAATGACTTCAATAAACAAAATCAACTTTACTTTCATGACCTTCTCTTTTATCCCTTAATATACTATTTTCTACTTTTTTGTAGGCAAGTTTCACTTAGAATTGTATTTTCATATTTAGGGGATGCAGCAAAATTTTACAGTATTATTTCTTATGTAAAATTACATTTTTAACTTCTTGCATCTAATAAATATACAACTAGATTTTGTCCAAGAATTGATGAAAGTGAAGGTTCCCTTAATGCCCAGTTTAGGATTGTAAGAGTAATAGTAATAGATTGTTAACATTATGCAATACATACCAAATTAGACACAATTAAAATTTCTAATTAAATGACAGACACCTGTGAACTAGGGGTTTCCACCGTGGGTACTTTTGCTCTGAGCAGATATTTGGCAGTAGTTAGAATTATTAATTGTTAGACAACAACACAGTGTTAATCTTGCTACCTAGAGGCTGATGTCAGGGAAGTTAAAAATAATCTAAAATTCACAGCAGTGATCGCTACACAAAAAAGCTTCCACTCTAAGGTGGCAAGATCATCAGTGTGAGGATGTGCACCATAAACCATTGTTCAGTAACTGTTGTCATAGAGATTTCATTCAGGTCAGCTGACTTCCTAGTGCCACCCAGGTCTTGTCTTGCCTTGCTGGTCTCTCTTTACCTGTTCTATCAGTTATTAAGATTGGTGTTAGAATCTTGAGTTAAGCTGCAGTTATACCTTTGTTATCCATCAGCTGATATTTCTGATAATTTGCTATATTTGATCCAATGAATAATTTGTCCAAAGAATAATAATTAATTTACTTTTGTTTCTTCCAATTGCCATTATCAGTCACTGAGTTAAGAAATTTTTCTGACTTGAGCATACTTTCTCCAGCTCTCTTGTGGATGTTATCTTCATAGAATCATATATATTTGTGATTTTGAGTGTAGTTAGTGCCTCTTCTAGACAGCCAGTATTTGGACCTTTTTGATTAAGTAGGTCTTAATATAGCTTTCAATGAAAGTTTTAGTCCATAAAATTATTGATATGTTTGAATTTACATGTCACCTTTCTAACTATATATTAAGTACCTTATGCCTTTTGTGTTTTCTTGTTTCAGCCTTCCTCTTTTGTGTTGAAAGATTTTCCCTAGTTATCTTACTCCTGTCTTAGTTATTTTAGGCCTATCACTCAGCAGCAAATTCTTCTCACCAATCTGTTAACTTTTTTGATCTATCACTGCTATATTGTTGCACATTTTTTCTAATATTTATTTGCATGTATTTATTTCTAGGATTTATTGCTTTTCTAGGCTTTTTGTATAAAATTTGTGTTTCTCCTCCCATATGGTGCTGCAGTATATATGTTGAATATTCCCCAAATGTCAATGTGTTAAAACTAATACTAATTTATTATATCAAGATTCATCAGTTATTTTTGAATACTCATTTTTTCAGGTCAGTTCTAAGCTTTGTTTGATTCACAAGGTTCTGTACAATTTGATTTACAAATGTTTCCCTTAATCTTTGTTGATTTTTGAAAGAGTGTGTTCCTGCAAGTCTTGATTGCAGTACTCTAGAAATCCCTCACATTTTATTTTTCAAATCTATGATAATCATTTAACTTCCCTCAGTTAACTAGAATTTTTATGGCTATGTAGATCAAACCATGCTATCATAAAGGCAGTGAAACAAGAAAGCACTGGTGGAAATGACTTAATGTGTCTTCTACTGAAATGTACAAATCACTATAAGACTACCTATTAATGATGTTTTTAAAAGGTATTTTGTCTCTTTTCGTGAATATGGTTAAAATTTCACCATCAAAGATGAATTTCTCCATAGGCAGAAACAAGAAGATATACATGTCTTTCTGTGTGTTTGTACATATCTATCTCTTCCTGTGTGTCCCTATATACATAAATTTATTATGAAAATGGACTCAAATGGCAGTGAAGATCAAGAAGTCCCATGAACTTCTGTCTGCAAGAAGGAAGGAAATCTGGTGATTAAATTCAGATCAACTGGGAAGCTCTGATAATGCTACTTGCAGTCCAGGACTGAAGACCTGAGAACCAGGAAGGCTGCTGGTGCAAGTCTGGACTCTGAAGCCCTGAGAACCAGGAGCCTGGAGTCAGAGGCTGAGATCAGTGCTTCCTGTGGGAAGACAACCTGGAACCAATGTCCTGAGAACAAAGGGCAAGAGAGATGCTCCAGTTCAAAAAGCGAGAATAGACTTTTCTTCTACCTTGTGTTTTACTTGTGTATTCAGTCAACATATGTTGCCAGCTGCATTGGTTGGGTGGATCTTTACTTTGCCTATGGACTCAAAGCCTGTGTCATCTGGAAGCCCTCTCACGAACACACCTAGAAATGGTCTTCACCACGTACCTGCACATCCCTTAACTCCTTTAAGCTGACACAAGTGATCCTTCCAAGAGCCACAGACCATACCTGGATTTCTGTGTTAAAATACTATCTGTGCCACTGACTGCAGTGAGAAACTCCCCAGGAAATCAAGCAGTCCTTCAAGACTCACTTCACACCTGCATGTTAGCAGCTGAGCATTTGTACTTTATTTTATTATTTTTAAATTTCTTTTATAGTATATTTTGTGATGCATAATGATTAAATTAAGCTGAGAGGATGGAGATATATATGAACATATATTACATGTTTTATATATATATTAATATATATTGTCATTTTTAAGCCCTTTACCCCTCAATTTCTCTCTCTTTTTTCTTTTGGTACTGGGGATCAAACTCGGGACCTTGCGCTTGCGAGGCAGGCAGCAAAATCACGTGAGCTAAATCCCCGGCCCTACTCTCTCTTTTTTCAATCCTCTTCCCATCTCTACAAGGTTTACTTCCATGTTTCTTGACATGGCTTCTTTATTTTGATATTTAAATCTTTATATTTTTGGTTTTTATATTAATTATGTGGTATTTAACCTTCTGTAACTGATTTATTTCATTCAGTATTACACTCTCCCAATCCATCCATTTTCCTACAGATGACTCAAATGTATCCCCCTCTGAGGCTGAGTACTGCTCCATTGTGTGTCTACTCTATCTTCTTTATCCATTGATTGGTTAATAGATAATAGGCCACATTCATTATTTAGCTATTGTGAGTTGTGCTACTATGTGTATATAATTTAATAAATATAGCTCTTTCAGGAATATACTCAGGAAAGGTATATCTCGATCAAATGGAATTTCTATTTCTACTTTTTGGAAGAATCTCCATACTGATTTCCATATTGGTTGAACTAGTAAACATTCTCACCAACAATGTAGGATTTCTTTTTCTCCACAACTTCACCAGCGGTTTTTTTCTAATGACCATTCTTGCTGCAATAAGGTAGAACCCCAATATTATTTTTTTGCATTGTCTTCCCCAAAGATCCTGAATATTTTTCATGTATTTATTCTCCATTTGTACCTCTTCTTCAGAGAAGTGACTATTCATTCCAATTGATGGTCTTTGATTGGGTCTCAACTTTGGCATATGTGGTGGTTTAACTAATGGTCAAATTGAAACACCCAGCTGAACTGACTTAGCGTGGTTCTGAGTGCAGAAGATACACCTGAGAATTGATGCCAAAAGCATAAAGGAGAGCTGGAGGGAAGATCATTTGTTGTTGATTTTCCTGGAGAAGCTTGCTGGGCCTGATTTTCCTGATGCAAACTCAACTGTTCTCATTGTTGGAGGAGCTCAGGGCTCACTGTCCTATTAATGGCTGCTGCTCTCCTCAGGGAGCTCTGATCTTTGCCTTGAACATCACTTCCTGGCTCCAGTGCAGATCCCTCAGCCCAGTGGCACAAATCCTTCACCTCCCCAGTACAAGCTTTCTAGCTTCCACCACTGGGCTTTGGGCCTTCCCAGTGCAGGACCTTGATATGGACCTGCATAAGACATTGCCTGGTGCTCTAGGCCTTCAGCTGGACTTGTGCAGGACATTGCCTTGGGATCCAAGTCCTGAGCTGGATTCTTCAGGTCTCTAGTGCATGGATAGATCTCTTGCACTCTTCATCATTTGACTTTTTGGGTGAATATTATAAAATAATCCTATACACTTTGTAACCTGTATTAAATCTATTCCCTGGCAAACTTTGACAATAACAGCCTAATTTTTTTGAGTTGTTTTATTGCCTAGATATTAGTGCTTGAAGGAGTAGCCGAACATCTGCATTTTAGAAAACTCATCCAACACTTCTATACTCAACTTTAAATTTTCTTTTCTTTTCTTTTTTGGTACCAGGGATTGAACTCAGGACTTTGAGCTTGCCAGGCAAGCGGTGGAACCACTGAGCTAAATCCTCAGGCTCTCAACTTTAAGTTTTCTAAGGTCAGTATATTCATATTTAAAGTATCATATCTGCATCTCTTTTCTGTGACTTATTTACTCCATCTCTGGCTAGTCCTCCTGGCACTTGTTCCCTCTGGTATGGAGCCCACAGGCTGTGAATTCGACATCCACCATTGTCCTTGGAAGTAGCAACCCAGGGCATACACAAAAAGTAAAGATTATTCCTCAATTAAGATGGTGACAGCACCATTTTCACACACAGTTCATCTTAAAATTTGCTAATTTGGAGACCATATGAGACAGATAATTACTTTTATTCAAAATAAAAATCACCTTTTCTCTCTTCTTGTGAGGAAGAAGTTTTTCAGTTTAAGGAAAAAGAACCCCACATAATTCAGGCCCATATAAACTTCCATAAAAACTGGAAGATAGTGACATGATTATCTTAGAAGAATACATTTTAAAAAGACAGTTTACAGGCACTGAGGAAATGTACATAGGATTTTACACAGATAAGAGTAAGCACATCAAGGGACTGGGGATTTAGCTCAGTGGAGCTGCTGCCTGCCTTGCAAATGCAAGGTCCTGAGTTTGATCCCTGGTACCAAAAAAAAAAAAAAAAAATAGTAAGCACATCAAAACCAAGTCAGCAATTCTTAGCTTAAGAAATCTGATATATGTAAGAACACTAGTTAAGAGCAATGGGCACATTACTAAAAGATTATTGCAAAGCTAAACTTTGATTTTCCATGACCAAACATATGTAGGGGGCTACACGTAAAATAAGTAAAAACTCATAGCATAGACCTGTGAAGTCAAGGTCCATCAAGAAGTGAAGGAAAAAACAGGTGGTTGCCATGTATGGGACATATATTTCCATCATGCAAATACAAAAGCAGCAAGGAAATTAAAACCAGAGGGACTCTGACTGTGTCTTGTTGAATTCCTAGAAGGAGAACTTGCTTGCTCAGGAACCAGTCCCCAGTGGCACCGTCACCAAGGATGTAACAGAAACATGTGGATCCCGAGTCACCTGTGCTTCTGAGCTAGGATCTCAAAGGTTTATAGAGCCTTCAGCTCTCGTGGTTGTAGCTGTGTGGACACTGCCACTAAGAACCTGAATCAGATGCCTCAGAAGAGGTAGGTAGAGAATATTTATTTTTCTTGTAAGGACTTTTAAAAAATCCAAACCAGGTCTCAAAATGAGGCATACCACTTTGATTTTGCAAGGTACTATGAAACATGTACAATCAAACAAATAATGCATATTCTAATATTTATTTATAGAATTTTTAATTGTTTTTAGGAATACAGGTATTTATATTTGAGAAATAGAACTATTGTGTCTCACATATTAACTAATCATAATACTCTTTTTTTTCTATTTATGTCATGGTTTTATCTTTGCTCTACTATATAAATGAAAATTTCATGTTTGCCATTGCACTACTGAAATGAAAGGGTATACACAAATACCTAACCCAAAACTATGCCCCTTTTGATAAAACGGTACATTAGATATCCTCATTGGACAATTGTCCATTATATCAGCAGATCTACAGGTGAGTAGATCATATAATCCATGCAATAATGACAGGTTTAGATAAACCATGTATCTTATCATGAACTATGGCTGTCAACATTTTAAGGAGAATGTATTAAAACTATTTATTTGGTGAGATATTAAATAGATGGGCTTCCACTAGATGAGAGGAATTTGCCTAGACAGGTGGAAAACTTCAACCATAGAAGCCTGAATTGCTGGTTTGATAAGATGAATCCTCTATGATGTTTACAAAGAAAGAATAAACCCAAAATGAAAATAAACATTTCCTGGTTTGCTATAGTTCAACTGACCTAAAATAGAATGTTCAAAAATATTTGCTTGCTTTATATTTTCATTTAAAATAGAATCCCTAAATCAGGAGAGTTGGCCTTCAGTGAAAAAGCATAGAGATTCAATGGGGAACAAAAAAAAATGTGGGGTTAAAAATAGAAAAAAATGGAAATAGATGAAAAATTCTCTGATTATTAATATTGAGGTTACTGAAGCACAGGTGTGATTTAGATTGTAGTATTAAGTTCCCTAAATACTTCAAGAATACTTCATAAGCTCCCAAAGCATGAGCTATTGGAAAGATCTATTTGATTGCTCTCTTAACCCACACAGTACAGCAGTGAGGCTAAACATTTTAGAGACAAAGTGCAAAATGAAACCCCAAACCGCTTATTTATCCCAAAGTGCCAACACTGCAATTAAACCTGAATACTGAAGTTTTAGCTCAGAAAAATAACCCATACATTAACATCATTTTTCTTAAAAGAAAAATCTAATAGCAAGGGTGCTGTTGGTTCACCACTGCTGTCTTAGTATGCAAAATAGGTCATGGACAGTGATTTAATTGCCAAAAATCTCATAGTCTCTCTTGAATGAACCCCACCTATCTTGTAAGGATCTTGTATAATTCATCCTGATAGGGAAAAGTTTTAAAGTTTAGTAGATTAGCTATTAAAGTAGTTAAGAAAGAAAAATAGGTGGTGTATCCCTTTAAAAGCTTACCTTAGACCATTGCTTTTGTTGTTTAAAGTGAAACTTATATAGCTCCTTTGATCTGTAGCTCCACTATACATAAAACATCCTAGCTCTGAAGAACAAAGTGGGAATCCTTGAACAAACTTGTGATGTATGGGTCTTAACTGTCATGTGTTTAGGACTGTAATCAGTGACAGAAACCACCTGTGTCTAACCATTAAAGAGGAACTGGAACTTTATTTACTTAACAAAGACCACTAAGGATGGGATAATGACTACAACAGCATAAAAGGTGATGGACAAAGAACACAGTGGGGACTCTGACCAGACCAGTTTCTCGCATCCCAGCTTGCTAGCAAGTAAAGACCTTTATTATTTTACCTGAATTCTGTGTCTCTGTGCATTTCTTTCTGTGATTCTGGAACAATCCTATGATTGATGGAGAAGAGAACAACATTTTCACCTCCAAACCATCAGATTTAGCGTATTTAGCATATTCTCTCAACATCTACTTTCTCCACTTTGGTCTACCCAGTGCTATCTTATCTCAGAAATCCCATAAAAGCTGATTGAGTGATTTTATGTTTTTAAAACTTCAACATGTGCTCCACTGTATCTTTTTCCAACCCCTATAAAATTATTGTGTTCATAATTGCAAGAGTAACGACTTAAACCTCAAAGCCCATCACAAAATTCATCTATCTTAATATTGTTCCATAGTTTAAAATTCACTTAAATTATTATTGTAAGGATATCATATCTATCTTTCACTTTTCTAGTTGTTCATTGTCTTTCTGGGATACTATTAAAGTCCCACTTCCCATATATCATAAACCTAAGTTTTTAAAGCTCTTCTCAGAGCTGTGTTTCCCTCAGATCTCTGTTGCCTGGAGTCCTGCACTGTTCTAGCTGGGATTTAAGGAATAGTTTGTTCCTTCTGTTTCTTTAGGGTTCACATCAATATCTCTGTCACAGAAAAGATTTTCCAAACATCCCATGTGTGATTCTCCCAGGCTGACTTAATGTATCCTCACGTTTAATTTCCTCAATACACTTAATAAAACTCAGAATTATCTCAGTACAATGTATCGTAACAGACTTTCGTCTGCTCCCTGTAAATGGAATAAAGGTTCCATGAGGCACAGTAGATTTGTTGGAAGCTTGAACACCAACAGGGACAGAAAGGAAATTCAGTAAATGTCTGATTCATACATAAATAAGTAAATCATTGAAAGAAACCAGAGGGAAAGGACGATCTATGTTGTCAGAAATAAATACATTACATATTCAAAAATGTTGGAGGTTATTTTGGTCTTTCCCTAATTCATTCTCTTTTGTCATTTCATTCTCTTCCTTCTTCACATAAGATTGGTTTGGTAACTTTTGATCTGTGCTGTTATGCTGTATTCACAAACAGAGAAAATGTCAGCACATATATGATTTTGCTACTCAGACATTTATGATGAAACAATGTGAACTCTCCAGAAGTCCAATAGAGAGAGGAGGTAGAAAGACCTGACATGCTCTGGACAGTGCCATCTACTACAAGTGGACATGAAACCATGCAAAGTAAACAACCTCTGAAGAGTGCTGAATTACATTAAAAATGTGATTATATGCCATATATATATATGTAAATTACACTAGAAATTATACAAAGTAAATATGTTTATTAGTCCTATAATAAAGAAATCATTTTACAATGTGACAACTCTAGTAGAATATTTCTTGAATTAAAAGTTGATATCGTTTTCAATTAAAATATTAAACTGTAATGGTGATAAATAGTAATACCAAAATACAATAAAAGATGTATGTGGAACTCAACAAGTTTGTTGGAGGAAAAGAAAAAGAAATTAAAAGAATGTGTAGGAAGAACTATTAGAAAGAATAATCTCAAGGAATTACAAAATTGAAAATATTTCATTGATAGAATATCTAAAGAATGAAAAGACAATCAGGACCTGGAGAAAACATATCTGCAGACAGAACTCCATGTATTTTTCTCCCATTTAATTAAAAAGAATTCAAGAACCAAACAATTAACAAGCATCGATGTTAAAATAGAGAAGTGAAATATTCATCCAATGTGAATGATGGGGCAGCATGGTGCCTGGAATTATTAATTCTTGTGAAAAAGCATGAGGTGGGAATGAAAATTTTTCAAAGACAATTAGGATTAGGAAGGACACTGTGATTTCTCAAACTGGCTGGCATATCCGTGATGAATTCAAATGAAAGCAAGCTAATGAATCTAAAAATCAATGATAGTTAGAAAGTGAATCTTCACATTGTTATGTACAATGCAATCTTTTACTTAACTTTTTATATATAATTATCTCCCCTTGCAATTTTACATATGATCCCTAGAAACAGGAGGTAATAACTGGGTTGGATTAATGTATGACTCAAGGAAATCAGATCAAAGATTTGTCTTGCCTTCTAAAAGAAGTGCTAAATATGATACCTTAAAATTTATGGCCAGTTCTTCTTTTCTTCTCTAAACAGATGAAATTCTGAAACATTCATGGCCCCTGGAAACATGACCCAGGTCACTGAGTTCATCCTCATAGGGGTCTCACATTGTCCCGAGCTGCAGGTGCCCCTCTTCCTCATCTTCCTGGGCATCTATGTGCTGACCGCCATGGGGAACCTGGGCATCATCACCCTCACCAGTGTGGACCCCCGACTGCAGACCCCCATGTACTTCTTCCTCCAACATCTGGCTCTCATCAACTTGGGCAACTCCACCGTCATCGCCCCGAAAATGCTGAGCAACTTCTTAGCACAGAAGAAAACCATCTCCTACTATGCCTGTGCCACCCAGCTGGCAGGATTCCTGGTATTCATTGTGAGTGAGGCCTTCATGCTGGCCGTGATGGCCTATGACCGCTACGTGGCCATCTGCATCCCCCTGCGCTACCTGGTGGTGGTGTCTCGGCGGGTCTGCCTGCTGCTGGTGTCCCTCACCTACCTCTACGGCCTTTTCACATCCATAGTCTTTACACTTTGTGTGTTCTCCCTGTCTTTTTGCTCTTCCAATGTCGTCAATCATTTTTACTGTGATATTACACCTCTGGTGGCTCTGTCCTGCTCTGATACTTATGTTACAGAAATACTTGTCTTTCTCTCTGCAGGGACAAATTTGATTTCCTCCATGACAATTGTTGTAGTTTCTTATTTCAACATTGTTCTGTCTATTCTGAGGATGCGATCATCAGAAGGGAGGAAGAAAGCCTTTTCTACCTGTGGGTCACATATGATGGCTGTCACAGTTTTCTACGGGACATTGCTGTTCATGTACTTACAGCCCGGGACCAACCACTCCCTGGACACTGATAAAATGGCTTCAGTGTTTTACACACTGGTGATCCCCATGCTGAACCCCATGATCTACAGCCTGCGCAACAAGAACGTGAAGGCTGCCTTAAAGAGCTTCATGACAAATCCCTGCCATTCTTGCAAGCTACTGTAACTGTACATCTGTTCAGATAAAGCAAGACAAGATTAACATTGTCTTCTTTGATATAACAAAACTAAGAGCCAGATGAAAACCTTTACATCATACCATCTTTATAACAATGGTGGTTACGATTTGGAGAAAAACTGATTTTATAAATAAGCCGAGAATCTTGAATTGCGAATAGTAAAATAGAAATAAGACACTATTCAGCACTTTGCCATGAAGTAGACCAGGAATCTTTCTGGAAGAAATATTTCCTTTCAGGTGCAAGGAAAGACATAAGATTTTAGAATTGTTAAAAAAAATTTGAATAGACATAATACACGTAATAGACAAGACAGGTAAAGTTGATCTTTCTTTCTCTGTAACTTTCTCTCTTTTTTTCTTCCTGGGTATACTTAGGTATAGTAGATAACTACATTTTGAAATATTGTAGTTTGAGATGAAGAAAATCCATTTTTCCATCTATTTTACCAAACTCAAACTTTAATTTATATTTAAAATTCCTTTGATTTAAAAATAATATTGTTTGGGCCAGGGATTTACCTCAGTGGCTCTGCTGCCTGCCTCACAAGTGCAAGGACCCAAATTCAATCCCCAGTACCAAAATAAAAAAATAAAAAATAATAGTAATAATATTGTTTGAGTATACAAATGGCCAATGACTCTATTTTTTGAATTACAGGCATATTATGATTAAAGTTATTTTATTCCAGTAAAAATTATTTTATACATTTTAATGAAACACACAGAGGCCTACTATACAAATATTTTTTTTCTTTTTTAATTAAATTTTTTTATTGCTACATTGCAGGTATACAACACAATTACATTTCTCATTGGGAATTGTACCTTTACATAATACATCTTGGTTCTTATTTTTTCACCATTCCTAGCCCTCCCTTCACCTCCTCCACTCTTCCCTATTTACAAACACTTTATTTCCATTTTTTCCATTTCTCATCATTTTTTCTTTCCCTTCTTTCCTTTCCCCTGTCCCTCCCACTACCCCTATCCCTTTGGACCTTTTCTTCCTATTTTACATTATCGATTATTCATTCTAATCATTGGTACATTTAACGTATACAATAAAATGACATTCATCATTGGAAATTTGCACCTTTACATAGTCTCTCTTGGTTCTTACTTTTCACATTTGCCCAGCCCTCCCTGCAACCACTCCAGTCCTCGCTATTTACAAAGACTTTGTTCCTATTTTTCCATTTTCTCATATTAATCCCATCCCTTCTATCCTTTCCCCTAGCCCTCCCACTTCCTTCCCCTTTGCCCCTTTTCTTTCTATTTCACATTACTTATTATACATTTAGTCCTTATTTACACTTTCAGTTCTTACACCAGAGAAACAATTCAAAATTTATACATGTGTGTCCTATGTATTTCACTTAAGAGTATTGCCTCAATGTGCATCCACTTAGCTATAAATGTCTCTAATTTCTCATTTTTTATG